GTAAGATCCTCTGATGTTTGAACAGTTACCATGTGGCTAGAAGGTAGGGATTTTTCAGATCTGTTACTATCTTATGAGACAGTCTATATATGTGGCCCATCACTGACCAAAACATCATTTTAAAGGGTGAATAATAATAATAAACACAATCATTCTTTGGGAACCTATCTTACACCACTGTCTTGGTGTGCTGTGAAGTATTGAACTTTAGTCAGGAGGCACAGAGCTCAGCAGTCTACCCAGAGTTCCATGGCTAGCAGGTGACAGGAAGTCACCAACCTGCAGTATCAAAGGACTCCTGCGAAGGAATCCTGTGTGCCAACGGGGAGTGCTTTACAAGAACAAGGAGGGGGGGAAGGTATGAGACATGTTTTTCTATGATATTTGTGGCTTGACTCAATCAAAGATTCATATACTGTGTTATACTGATAAGTCCCATGAAGCCAGCGTTCACAGCCCTGGCTTAGGATGCAAACAGCACTGTTGGGCACAAACCTGGGTGGATCTATAGGAGCTGAGCCCTGTTCTCAACCCTGGCTGTGGGTTAGAACCCTGAGGAGTGGATACTTGGTTATTTTAGAGGGTGACATCCTTGCCACTTCCTTTAATCAGAATCTCAGAAGATGAAGGCCAGACATCTTAGCTTGGTTTTTACTGGACTTTCTTTATTATTTTATTTATTTATTTATTTATTTATTTATTTATTTGCAATGGGTTCTCCCTATTTTGTCCAAATGAGACTTCAACTCCTGGGCCCAGGTGATCCTTCTGTCTCAGCCCTCTGAGTAGTCAGGATGACTGGCATTCATCACTATGTTCAGCTAATGTTTGGGGCTTGTTTATATTTTAGTGCTGATAACTCAACCATACTAGGAGAGCAAATCCCCCCTGAGCCACAGCACCAGTCTCTGATATTTGTTTTGTCTGTGTTTAAAGTCTAGATGATTCTGAGGTTCCTCTGACCTCTGTGTTGCACAGATGAAGAAACAAACCCAGCAAGAGGTCATAAGTTAATAAATGTCAGAAGTCCCAAAAGCGGGGGAAAGATGCCCTGATTTCTAGTACAGAATCATGAAAACAAATATAAAATCCCAAACCCCAAACCACTCAATTCTTGGTGGCTGTCAACATGGCTCAGTGGTTAAGAGTGTGTGTTACTTTTTCAGAAGACCTAGGATCTGCTCCTAGGGCCCATTTCAGGTGACTCACGATGGCCTGTAACTCCAGTTCCAGGAGATCTGACTCTCTTTTTATGTCCTCCAGGGGCACCTGGATACATATGCACATACTCCTATATAGATATACATACATATACATAATTCAAACTAGCATAAATCTTAAAAAAAAAAAACCTCAGCTGTTGGATCAGGCTGGGCCACCCCACAAGGAGACCCGAGACCCCTGGGCATCACAGTTTACCTTGTAAGCTGGCTGTTAACCAGTGCCCTCTCCCCAGAGTCATTTGGCTCAACACCGTATTTCGTTCTAATGTAATCCAGAGTTATACTTTTAACTTTTTTTAAAAAACTCTGTGTGTGTGCTTAAACGTGCACATGTGTGAATACAGATGTGTGCATGCACATGCTATGGTATGTTTGTGAAGGTCAGTGAACAACTTTTGGGAACTGCTCTCTCCTTCTACCACATGATCTGAGGATCAAATTCAGGCCATCGGTTATACACAGAAAGTGCTTTTATGTGCTGAGCCGTCGGTCCTGGCAGCCCTAGAATTATGCTTTTGAGAAGTCTTAATTGAGAGTTAGCTGCCTTTCTCCTTTCTTTCTGCGGTGAGCGAATGATGTCTTGGGTCATGCCTGGAGCTCAGGCAGGTGTTCCTTGGATGGACAACCCTAAAGATTTTTGTTTGTTTGTTTGTTTGTTTGTTTGCTTTGTTTTTTCGAGACAGGGTTTCTCTGTGTAGCCCTGGCTGTCCTGGAACTCACTCTGTAGACCAGGCTGGCCTCGAACTCAGAAATTAACCTGCCTCTGCCTCTCAAGTGCTGGGATTAAAGCCATGTGCCATCACTGCCCGGCTAAAGATGCTTTAATGTGCTCCATGCTGTTACGTTCCCAGTTCCAGCCTCCTCAGCCTTTTAAAAACCAAGCTGTTCACTCTTGGAAAATGTGGTCTAAATTACTCTTAAACAAAATGATTTTTAGACATGGAGCTGAGTGGATCTGGGAATCAGCTTCTTCGGAGAATCTGCTGGCCACTACCTATCACTAGCAAATTAATCCATTTGAGCATCGAGGAGTAAAAACTGAAGCTTTGCTTCTGTGTAATGCAGGCATCTTGCCCTTCCCTAACCTGTCCCTGCCCTGTCCACAACCTCAGTGCCTTCAGTCACTCAGAAGAGAAACCCCTGAGGCCAGGCTCTTCTTCTACACTTCCCACCACAACTCCCTCTCAGCCCCTCCCCAAGCCCTTCTTTTACTGGAACCTTCTTTGGTAGCTTTTGAAGGGCTACCAGCAGCACTACACTACATTCCTGTTGTGGGGCATTCACAGAAGAGACTGCTCAGACATGGTTTAAGCCAATAGCAAGTCTTTAGTAGCCGGCCCGTCACTACACTGGATATTCAGGATGCCAGTGTAGCCCTGAGCCTCTCTCAGGATGAGCTTTCAAGGAGGAAAACCGTGTTCTGGGTTGACACACTTCAGTTAACAAGAGCAGTTAGCCAGAAGCAGAACTACAGAAGCCAAAAAAGCAAGGTTAGCATATTTAAAGACTTTCTTAGAACTATGGGCTTTGATGGTTTAGGTCTTTGTTTTCATTTTGGCTAGTGGTATTGTCTATGTGCTAGTTTTACAGTCTGAGCGGTCCTTCCATGGTGGAGTCAGGTGTGCTAAGGCCTGGACCCTGTTACACCACTGCATGTGAGCTTTCTATAGAGTAGATATAAGGCAGAACCTATTCTGGGTTGTTTGCATTCCTGTAATTCACCATCGGGCTTTTAATCCACCTATGCATGTGCTAGTAAGCTGCTGAGATCATCTGGTTTCCTGAGCATCCCTTGCTCTGTTGAATCTCATCCCTAGCCAGGCACTAGCTCAAGCTGTTGCTCTAGCTTCCTGTTCTGGGCCAACTGCTGGAAGCATAAGCAGGAGTGTGTCCCGCCTCCCTGTGAACTGCCTGCAGAATCCTTAAGAAGCACAAATTCCTCCAGTGGGCTGGAGAGATGGCTCAGCAGAAGAGTGCCTTTGCAGACGGCCCACCCTCTGTTCCCACACTCCTTACCACCACACCCTACCCCAGAGGCCCAGGAGTTCCCTGAGGTTCCTCTGGGCTCCAAGTCTTGACCTGCACCTCTGCTCTCCTGACTCCAGTGCCCTGTTCTACTGTGCACTGCATCTCTAGCATTTAACTCCCATTCTGCTCAGGCTGTGACTTCCTCAAGGTCAGGGATCCACGGGCCTCCCGTGCTGGATAGTTTTGTCAACTTGGACAATCGAAGGGCATTCCCATCTGGAATGGGAACCTCAGTTGAGAAAATGCCTCTGTCAGATTGGCCAATAGGGACCTTTTAATTATTTATTTACTAATTTTTGTTATTATTAATGGTGAGACAGAGTCTCATTCTGTAGTTCTGGCTAGCCTGGAGCTCTCTGCGTGAACCAGGCTGGCCTTGAACTCAGACATCCACTTGTTTCTGCCTCGTGGGTGCTGGGATTAAAGGTGCGTGCCACTATGCCCAGCATCGGGGCTTTTTATTGATTAATGTGGACGGGCCCAGCCCACCGTGGACAGCACCACCCCTGGGCAGGTGAGGCTGCTGAACATAAGCCCGAAAGCAACAGCGGTCCTCCGTGTTTGCACTTCCGGTCCTTCCTCCTTGTTTGCACTTCCGGTCCTGTCTTGACTTCTGCCCTGAGTTCTCACAATGGTGGACTGCGATGTGGACTCATTAGCCGAATAACCACCCGCGAGCTGGCTTAGTTTGTTCAGTGTTTTATCACAACAGAAATATAACTGGAACCTCTTGAGTTCAAGGCCTTGGCACATTGACACATGGACCTTTTGTGTCTGGAGGTACCTAACTCCTGTCTAATGTCCCCCCAGGGGCTAGGAGCTGCTGGGGTTGGGAAGAGCACAGTGCATCTCACTCGGCCTTTCCGCTCTGCAGCCCTGTAACCAAGTAGGAGGTTGTGTAACATTTTAGGGGGGGTGGCGAGTGAGAAAGAAGGGAAGATGAAAGAGAGCCACTCCGGATTTCTGAGTTCGAGGCCAGCCTGGTTTACAGAGTGAGTTCGAGGACAGCCAGGGCTGCACAGAGAAACCAAAAAGAAAAAAAAGAAAGAGAGCCACTCATTGGCCTGAGGATGGGGATGGGAAGCTTCAAAAACAGGGGTTGCCAGAAGAGAAGATGGGAATCAGGAGTCGGTGGGAAGAGTTTAGACGTGCTGTGGCTGATTGGGTAGAGGAAATGCTGAGCCTAAGATGCAGATTGAGGCCATCAGTGCTGAGGGGCCATCCTGTGAGTGGTGGCTGAGGAAGACCACCAGCTGGGGCAAGGGAGACATCTTAGAAACCAGAGAAGAGCCGTTCAGTGACTGAGCAGGCCAGAGTTAGATGCCCTGAAAGCCATGGCACAAAACAGCTGCCTAAGTCCCCCAGCTTGCCTCCCCCTCTTCCTTTTTGTCTTCCTCTTCCTCTCCCTCCTCCTCTTCCTCCTCCTCCTCCTCCTCCTCCTCTTCCTCCTCCTCCTCCTCCTCTTCCTCCTCTTCCTCCTCCTCCTCCTCCTCTTCCTTTTCCTCCCCCTCCTCAGGCATTTTCTTCCTCCTCAGGGAGCAGCCATCTTGTGTGCTGAAGAGGCAATGCCACGCTGCCCTCCTGAGCCACACAGCCAGACTTTGTCCTAGGGCACATTCTTGCCTTGATTTCCCCACCAGTCACCTTTTTTTTTTTCCCCTTTTCCAGTCACCTCAGCTCCTCAAATCTTCCTTCTCCTCTCTCTAGCCATTGACTACAAAATGGGGGCCAAGAAATCAGAACAGACTATTGATCTTCTATTGATCTATTGAAGGGACAAGGCCTCTACGTTGTATAACTTAGAGGTGAACACACCTCAAGGCTAGAACTCAGAGCAGGGAGTGGAGTGGAGTGGAGCTTAATGATAGGAAAACACTGGTGGTGGTGGGGGTGGGGGTCGTATAATCTCTAGCCCAGTGATCATGATCCCTTTGCCAAACCTCTATCTCCAAAAACAATACTTATATTATCATTCAAGACAGTAGGAAAATTAGTTACAAAAGTAGCAGTGAAATAATTGTATGGTTGGGGGTCAGCATGAGGAACTGTGTTAAAGGGTCACAGCATTAGGAAGGGTGGAGCCACTGTGCTAGACCATGATGTGGTTCTCATGGAGATTTTGGAAGATTTGAGGATAACCTTGTTAGGCCATAGGCTCCAAGAGATCATAGGGACAGAAGTTGATGAGACCCTAGATGAAGCAGGCCTCTCTCTCCTCCCTACTGTGGAGATACGACCATGTTCCTTACATTGACTTCAGACATTCTGTTCCCTCTGCCCTAAGGCTTCAGAATCTGTCTGCTGCACCTAAGGCCCAGCAGCCCGAGCCTCAATAGACACAGTGACCCTCATGGAGCCACAGCTTGACCTCAACTCCCACTCCTGACTGGAATTGTAGGCCATTGCTGGGGAGACTGAGCCCTCCCGGGAAGACAGCTGAATGTTCAGCCAGCGACACTGGGCCTCCTGGCAGGAAAGCAGCACAGTGCCCTCGGGGTTGCTGTAGGTACACTGGCTGTGAGCTCCTCTCCCCTCCACAGACAGATCCCAGCTGCCCACTGGCTCCCTGACATCCAGCCCCAGGGCCGTAAAGCTCAAGTGGCCTGGATTGACTGGACATATCAGCTGCTCCTGCTTCAAGTTTGGCACCATCTGGCCCTTGAGATATCCTGGGCCTGCACAGAAAGTATGGGTGTTGAAGATCCGGTCGCTGTAGAGCTGGAGCCAGTTGGTAAGGTAGGACAGATGGCAGTCACACTGCCAGGGGTTGCCGATCAAGGCCAGGTTGAAGAGGTCATAGTTGGTGTCAAAGATGCCCCCAGGGAGCATGGTCAGCTGGTTCCTGGACAAGTTGAGAAACTCAAGCCTGGACAGGTTGTGGAAGAGAGCTGGGTGCAAGGCTGTCAAGTTATTGCTGTCCAGAGAGAGTTTGACCAACTGCTCAAGGTTCCTGAAAACATCCTCAGGAAGGTAGGTGATGGCATTGTGCGAGAGCGTGAGGGAAACAAGACTCGACAGGTTGGTGAAGGTGCCCTCAGGGATGGTCTCCAGTTGGTTGTAAGAAAGAGACAGGTGAAGCAGGCCTGGGTTGTGGGTGAAGAGACCAGCAGGCAGAGTCCTCAGTGCATTGTCCTTCAGGTTTAGAAAGGTCAGGTTGTGCAGGGAGGAGAAGACAGAGACCGGCAGGTGGCAGATGGCGTTATGCTGCAGCCACAGCTTCTCCAGGCTGAACAGCTGTGAGAACAGCTGTGGGGACAGCTCTGTGATGACATTGCTGTCCAGAAAGAGCTCCTGCAGGCTGCCCAGATTGCCCAGCACTCCCTCGGGGAGTCTGGCAAGCATATTGTTACTCAGCTTTAGTATCTGCAGGCTGGTGAGTGACTGGAACATCCCCTCAGGAAGCTGTGTCAGGAGGTTCTGAGCCAGGTTGAGGGTTCTCAGATATCTCAGAGACTGAAACAGTCTCCTGGGCAAGGTCTGGAGTTGGTTTCCCTGAAGCTGGAGGGACTCTAGAGTATCCATGTGGAGAAAGAGGTCCTCTGGCAGAGCCACCAGCCTGTTAAAGTCCAGGGTGAGCTTCCCCAGCGAGCTCAGGTTAGAAAAGATGTTGGTGCTGAGGTTAGAGAAGGAGCTGCCTGTGACCTCCAGGTCCTCCAGCCTGGGCAGTCCCCCAAAGGCATCGGGCTCCAGGTGATGGACCAGAGTGTTGAGGAAGACCACCTTGGTCAGGTTGGGGTTACCGCTGAAAGCCCTGGTCCCCACTGTGGTGAAGGCAGTCTCCACAAAGACAATGTCTGTGACATATGAAGGGATGTCCAGGGGGATGGTGGCCAGCTGCTCATCTGAGCAGAATACCTCCCTGCCGAAGCAGTCACAGCCCACAGGGCAAGGGTGGGTGAGCTTGGCCAGGAGCAGGAGTGAGGCCCAGCATAACCAGGCTCCCAGGAACATCTTCTGGATCCAGAGGACAAAAAAAAACAAAACGAAAGAATGCCTTTAATAAGGAGATCATAATGCAGTGTCCAGAGCACTAGACAGTGAGCCCCCCAAAGGCAACATCAGGCTGTGAGTGAGAATCAGTCCCTTGAAGGATGTATGTGTGTTTGGGGGGACAGTTGCTTGTGTGATGCGTTGCTGGAAAAGGAAACTAGGCCGGTACAGGCTAGGGAAAGCTTTACCACGGAACCTCAGCCTCAGTTTACAGCTTCAGCAGCCTGTAAGGTGGTGACCTCACAGCAGTCTTGTGGAGGGTAACAGCCTAGTTCTCGCTTCATGGAAGCAAAGGTATCCCATTGCCTGTCCAGACACCCTGCCAATGAGTGGCCACGGCCGGACCAAGACTTGGATATTCTGGAGTGTTTCTGTTCTTTCCAGATTGGAGAATGATATGGAAAGAGTCAAAAAGGCGAGTGAGAGGGGCGTAGGTAGTGTGGAATTGTTGGAGATAGTACGTAAAATATGTGCAGATTAGCCACGAGTTGGACATTTCTAACCCATAATCCTCTGGGTTGCCAGAGCTCAGCATATTTCATGGCCTGGCTGAGAGCAGCCCCCCCTGCTCATAGTTGGGTCTGCTAAAGGTGATACCGTCCAGGGACTGGGCTCCTCAGAACTGTACTGTCCTACCGGCCCTGCCTGTCCCCCATTGTCTTAGTTCCGGGGAGCTTCTAAGGTCCAGACACAAAGGTTCTACAGGACACGCAGGGAGACAAGTTTTTAATTTACTAAATTTTCATTTAAGGCAAAAAAAGAAAAGAAAGAAAGTCTAGCATAGTGGTTCTTGACAGTGTGTGTCATTCACAGTGCTCTGGAGGCTGGAACAGAAGTAGCCCAGGGAGTTTACTTTTAAGTTTAGTTTTAGGCCAGCTTGGGATAACTAGTAAGTTCGGTAAGTTCACAGCTAGTTTGGGATGTATTGAGAGGTCCTGGCTCAAAAAAAAAAAAAAAAAAGCAACTAAAAAAAAAGAAAACAAAACAAAAAAACAAAATAATAAAGACAAAAACAAACAAACAAAAAGCAAGAGAAAACAAAAACCAAAAAAATGCAAACAAAAAAACCCAAAAGAAAACAAAAAACAACAGTCGCATCTACTAACAGGTCACAAATGAGTGCTGTAGCCTACAGGTGCATTTTGTTTAGTCCCTGGAGGGGGTGGGGGGGTCCCATAGGTCACACATAGGAACTGGGAATTCCATACTGAAAGTCCCATTTCAGAAGTGTCTGGAAACAATAGGTCCACATCCCCACCTAGCAAGACCAACTGAGGCTCAGTACCCTCCGCCCTTCAGGTGAAATGCACTTTGCGAACCACGGTGGTAGCGGCTCACCTAGTCACATGACCTGTGGAGGTTCAAACACCATGAGTTCAAATCCCAGGCTCAAGACTTTCTAGTCTAGTAACCTCAGGCATGTTATTATCTGTGATTCAACTTCCTTATATGCAAATTGTGGATAATAACAGAACTGACAACGTCGCAGTGATCCATGAGATCTAAATGAGATTATTTAGATCAAGGACACAGAATAAACGAGCAGTTAGGAACAATGCTAACTGCTGTTAGGTTGCAAGGTGCCATCATTACAAAGAGAGTATTTGAACAAAAGACGTCGTAAGAAAATATCTTGTGGATAGAATACATTTAACTTTACTAAAAATAAAAAATAAAAAATAAGATAAAAGCAAGCAAGGAAATCCTCTGGCTGTTTCTCTGCTGCCCCCTGCTGGCCAGGACTGACTCTTGCAGGCTCCAGGTTGGTTGCCTGGAACTCCCCAAGGGGATGGGGGGGGGGCAGATAAGCAGCTTGGGAAGCAACAGCTACCCTTTCTTGAAAAGTCCATCCAGACCCTGACTATCAGAAGGCCAGAAACATGGCCTAGAGAGCTCATGAGAAGAAGAGGCAAGACGCTCTTACCATTACTGTGCCAAGGCTAATTCCTTTGGCCATTGGTACTCAAAGGAAGTTTCCAGAGCAAGGTCCTTCAGAATAAAAAACTATACATCTCAGGGAAGTGAGGGCCATGAGGCCTTTGCACAGGGATAGTGACTGGTGGTTTGAATGAGGATACCCCCCACCCTCTACCATAGGCTCATGTATTTGGGTGTTTGTTTCCCAGCTAGTGGACTGTTTGAGGAGAGTTAGGAGGTGTGGCCTTGCTGGAGGAGGTATGTCACTGGTGCCCACACCAAGTCTCTAATTCTGTCTGCTGCCTGTGGATCAGATGTAAGCCCTCTGCTACTGCAGCACTATGCCTGCCTGCCTGCTGCTGGGCTTCCTGAGCAGATGATCACAGACTCACCCTCTGAAACTATAAGCCACCCAGCACCCAACTAAATGCTTCCTCTTAGAAGTTTCCTTCGTCATGGTGTCTCTTCAAAACAACAGAATAGTAATTAGTGACACAACCCAAGAGGCCCTCCACAGACCACAGTCCCCCCTGGCATTGCCAGGAGGAAATCTGGAGCCATGGGTGGAAGTACCACAGAAGAGAAGCCAGGGCCTCCTGAGGACAAGTGTCACCACTGACCCACCCAGCCCTCCTCCTCTCATCCCCTTGGCCTGTCACCTCCTTCATACACTGACTTTAGAAAACAAGGGCTTGAAGATGCTCCTGAGAGGTGACTGTCAAGAATCCCGACACTGAAGGAAACTATGACCCTGGCGGCATAGAACTCAGGTGAAGCAAATCCACCCAGGTGTTAGAGGAGTGTCTGGCCCCTGTGGGGCTGAGGGGACACAGGGCTGGGAGGGAGTCTGAGGGTCTGTTTCCCCACCTCCAACATTCTCAAACCTGTAACCTGTTCCATGGAGAAACCTAGACAAGACCAGGACAGGGAAATCAGGACTCCCATGGCCTGAGACTCAGATGTTAAGGGGTCAGGATCAGGCTCATGTCTGTGCTCTGAGAATCTCTGCTGAGCGCACAAGGCTTTCCTGTCAGACAGAGGATAGGTAGGGGTTGGCAGGCTCGCTCCTCACAGAAGCAGGCGTAGTTACCCTACCCATTGTCTGTCCTTGTGTCTTCCAGTCTGAATCTTGTTGGATTGGGTCTCAGCCACCTTCAGTGGTTTCAGGTAAGCAAAGGGCGTGGGCCTCTGTGGCAGGGACAATCTGGGGTCAGTGGCTCTAGGGAGCTATCCACTCTAGCTAGGTCGGGGTACCTGAGGCAAGGCTTAAGATAGCTATGCAGATAGGCATGTGTCCTTAACCTTGTCACCCTCTCAGACCCTGAGGGTATCCTTAGGAGATGTCAGAACAAGGCACTCCCCGGTTTAGGACAAGATCTTCCTTGTCTTCGTCTACAAGGATGGAATGGGGAGGCAGAAAGAAAATGATCCATTCCCAACCCAAGTCTCATCCCCGCTGCAGAGAAACCAAGAGTGCGCACTCTGTAGACAGACAGTAAGGGCTCAACTCCTGACTAGCTGTGTACCATGGCTAAGCGATGTACTTCTCTCTGCTTCACTTTATCGTTAAAACAGTGAGCACAATACTACCTTCTATGTGGGGGTCTCAGAAGGCTATAGTGAGAAAACACAAGAGATAGCCCCAATCCCAGAGTTGCGTGTGTTGTACATGATCTGGCCTGAGAGCGGCCATGGTTCTCCTGAGCGTGGCAAGGATCAGCTCTGGTCAGATGTCATCAGAGGTTTTCTGGGGGAAAACTGATGAGCTCATGGGATCTCTCCACATGGAGCAGAGCGACCCCTCCCCACAGCCATGGTCCTAACACTTTTCCTTCTCAGTGGAGAAAAAGGCACAGACTCACAGACCTGCCATGGGTCCCCTAGCACTTCCTCAAAAGAACAAGTCACTGGGCACTCCCATCTCCAGATACAGTGGGGGTCTATACCAGAGGCCACAACTGTGGTAGATGTATGCTATGCACCTAGAAAGACCAGTGAATGACCACAGCAGTGTGCCATACTCCAGCAAGTGAAGGGCACCTGCCCTTCTTCCATTCCGAAATGTGTGTTATTCATCTGATTGTTTCGGTTGACTGGCTGCAAACAGCCTTTATCCTCTCCAAATGCTCCCATGGTGGTACATTCCTGTGTGCCCCAAGCTTCCACCTGTCATTCACCACAGAGCCAACCCCCCCTCTCTTCCCAGGATGCTGGGAGCCCAGGGTCTGACCTCAGTATACCTAGTGCCACCTGCACTGGGCTCTACCTCACCAGCAGGCTGAATACAACTGCGCGTTCCAAGGTTCCTGGGAAACAATAAGAGTGTCTTGGCTCATCTGTGCCCCTGGCTGGTCCTCAGACCTGATCTCATCTCCTCTAAGCCAGCAAACTAATCAAAGGGCTGAAGACCTCAGGAAGTGTAGACTGGTACCTTGCACAGACCCTTCCTGACACCCCATCCCACCTCCAGGCCTACTTGAGACCCAGGCAATGGAGCAAACTCTGAGGCTTTGCCTCTGCCTTGGTTAATCCAGAACCGTGCTGAGGCCACAATCCTGACACCTAAAGCATAGATTTACTGTTGCTAGTGTGACCCTGGAAGGAGGCCGAAGTGACAAGCTATCGAAAAGCAGAAACTAAGACGCTGGAGAGATGGCTCAGAGGTTATGAGTACACATTGCTCTTGCACAGGACCTGGGTGCATCTCCCAGTACTCACGTGGGGTGACTCCCCACTGCCTGAGATTGTAGTCCCAGGAGACACACTGCCCTCTGCTGGCTTCTGTGGGTACTTGCATGCATGTGGTGTGACACACTCATATGCACACTTAATAAATAAATGAATTTTTAAAAAAGAAATATAAGCAATAGGGCTGGAGAGATGGTTCAGTGGGTAAGAGTGTATTCTGGAGGTGACATATTCTGCTCTTGCAGAGGACCACCTCCTCCACCAGGTCATTTTCTACATCCTTGTCAGTAACTCTAGCTCCAAAGAACCCAATGCCATCTTCTGGCCTCCATAGGCAACATCACACATGCACACATGCACACATGCACACACACACACACCTGCATGTTCACACACACACCTACCTGCATGTATACACACACACACACACACACACACACACATACCTGCATGTACACACACACACACACACACACACACACACGTTTAGTGTTGCCTTCAGCCTCGGCCAGGAAAAGCTTCTCTCTGCAGGGGTCAGCAGCTAAGGCAGAGACTCATAACTGGTCGAAGTTCTGAGAATAAATGAGTACAGAGCGCTCAGTTCTGAACGGGGCATCTGCATAGTGGGATATCAACCTATCAACACACCCAAGACAGATGAGTGTCAGGGGCAGCCTTGCTTATACACTGAAGGCCTAAAATCAGCAGTAGGCCTAAGTCAGCTTGCTAACACAAAGTCTTGGGTCTCTGTGGAAAAACATTGAAACAGATGGCTATAAGATATTGTAAACAGGCAGCTTTGGTAGAAATTTACCAGCCTGCATGAGAACAAGTAGTCATAGGTCTTATGGATAGTTATAGACCTTGGGTAGCCTTGGCGGATAGTACCAACTTAGATAAGGACAAGTGAATCATAGGCGGCGTCATAGTGACCTGTCCCCTGAACCTTCACCCAGCTGACACTCTGTTCTAAAAGATATCTGTACTCTCCCATAACACCTACGCTCCTGCGTCATCCCCTTCCCCACATCCTGCCTTTATGTATATATAACCCCTGTGTGAAAAAGTAAAAATGGCGGTTTGATCAGCCTATAGACAAGCTGCTGTTCTTTGTGTCTGCCTGTTTCCCCCTACTCTTTCAAGTGCTCTCCCTGGATCCCTGTTTAATGCCCTGCTGGACAGATAAGGAACATCTTGGAAGACGAGATGGGAAGAACATACGAGCCAGAGGAAGAAGTGCTAGGAAATGCTGACCTCTGGACAGGACACAGATGTTGCCTCATGAACCCACTGCCATGCGGTTACCTACACAAGCCTGGCTCCAGGTCAAGCCAGGAAGATTAGTCCAAGTTCCAGCAGGCAATATTAACTAGACTCAGTGAGTCATTTAAAAACTAAATGAAGAAAAAAAAACCAACAAAGACATGAAGGTGGGTGGGGAGTGTATTGGGAGTATGGGAGGAGGGAGGGGCTTGGGAGTGGATATGATCAAGATACATTGTTCACATGCATGAAACTGACAAAGAATAAATACAAGTTTCTATTTTAAAAAACTTGTTTCAGGGCATCCTTTTCTTGGATCGCCTCTTGCTTTTGGTAATTCTTTCTTATTTCTCCTTAATAAATCTACATTGGCTCTGCTTTTAAAATGTGTACATATTTTAAAATGTTTTAACATAATAAACATGTGCCTGTTTTAGGGTGAAGGAGAAAGCTATTTTATAGGATGGAGGTAACTGTATAAAACTCTAGGCCCAGGTCTCAGGGCTCCTCGTCCCACTCACAAACACCAGCCCCAGAGCCCTACGGCAGCACTTCTTGGTCTGTAGCTCTCAGATCTGGCATTGCCAGAGATCAGGGAGCTTAGCTCTTTATTGTGTTTTGTGGGAAAGCTGGCACTTTGACATAAGAAGGCGTGGACTGAATACTGCTACTTTTCTGCTCTGTCACGCCTGCAGCCCCTTGGTGATGCTGCAGTGTGCCTGTGCCTATGTTCCCTCTCACTGGTGATGCTGCAGTGTGCCTGTTCCTATGTTCTCTCTCACTGCAGTGTGTCTGTGCCTATATTCCCTCTCACTGCTTGTTCCTGCTGTCCCACCCTCCCAGACCAGAAGGAGTCCCCAGCAAGCCTTCCTGGACTATCCCTCCTTCACCTGGCAGGTCACTGGTGTCCTTTGCTAAGAACAGTGTCCTTCTGCTCTGTGTTCTAGTAAATTGTATCCCAACTGAGCCCCAGGGGTCAGGCTCCTGCTGCAGCATTTTGGCTCCCAGCTCTGCATCCCAGCGCCTGGGTCAGGGCTAGGCAAAGAGATGGCACCGGGCTGAAGGCTCAGGATGTCTGTGGCTCTCTATGACCGCTCCTCTTAATGGAGTGGAAAAGCACGTTGGCTCTGTCAGAATAGCCAGCTCTACATTCAAACCCAGACACTGTACTTACTGGCTGTGTGGGCTCAAAGGGTTCCCTTCTCTATCTATCAAAGCCTTAATTTCCTCATCCTAATTAGAATTCAAGCCCTTAAGGTTAAAATTAGTCCCCGATTAGACAGTGCGTTTAAAGTACTGCATAGTGCTTGACAAATAACAAACATTCAATTTAGTTCTGGGATGAATGTGAACATTATCATCTAAGCCTGACACTCTGGGGATGGAGAGACAGCAGCACTAATTATGTCAGACAACAGGCACCAACCAGGGTGGACCGTGACCTGGGACCCCTCTGCCTGCCCCCATTCACACCTAGTCCCTTTGAGAGCCAGGCCAGGCCGTCCTCCACCTAAAGTTCTTCCTCCCTGGCCCTTCCTGGCTAAGGCTAGCTGATCCACTCAAGGGCTTCCCCTTGCAGGAAAGGGGACTCAGCTACTTGTTCCCAGAGCAACAAGTCTCTTTCCAGTGTCCCAGTCAGGACCCTAAGTCAGATGTCCCCACACCCCCCACAGACCCAGGAGTGAGGCAGAAGGCCTACCGTGAGAGGTTGGGCAGGTGGGGCCAGAAGCCCTGGTTTTTCCTTGGAAACAGAGGAGAATTTCATGTGCTCTGTGCTCAGTTGAATACAGCCCCAACACTGACCAAAGTTCTGGGAAGGGTTCCTCCCCTCATGGGGATTGACTGTTCTGGGAATGTCACCAAGGTCACTTGGGCAAGGCCTATAAAGATTACAAAATGACCCTGAATGTTTCCCATAGGCAGACACCTAGTAGCTCTAAAATTCCACTGAGACTATAGGCTTGGTGTCTCTGGGACCCCAAGTATCCACTAGCCCTTAAAAAGTATCTCCAGGGGGGAAAAAGTGTCTCCGGGGTAAACTGCGATAAGAGTCATTTCCTTGTGAACATAGGTGTGGGGTAAGAGGCCACCCAGCTACTGCTGAGCACTCAGTGCTGCCACTAAGACAAAACCGAAAACTTACCAGTCTCTCGTGCTTGCCGATTTGTTTGTTTAATGAACTTTCTCTTTTTGGTATATATATTGCATGTGTGCGTGCATGTGTGAACTGAGCATGTGAGATCATGAGTTAGGTGTGTACGTGAAGTGTAAGCACGTGAGAATGTGTGTGTGTGTGTGTGTGTGTGTGTGTGGTGAGCATGTGAGAGTAAGTGGAGTTGTGTGTGCATGCATACATACACTCAAATGTCTTCTGTACAATAAAAGTGAGAGTAACTATGTGTGGTGGGTATGGTCGAGTAAGTATGTTTTGTATGTGCATATATATACATGTGATTATATGTGAGTGTTCATATGATGTGAGGTATACGGCATGAAAGGATGACCAAGAGAAGCAATGTAACACTCCAGTGCCAGGAGTCTGTCATCCAAGTGCTCTGAGGCTATTTAACCTTTGCTCACCTTTAGAAAACCTGCTAGGACATACTGCTTCTTTTGCATGTGATCAGATGACACCCCACGCTGCAAAGTTGTGACTGAGCAATAGGAGGCATTTTCTTCAGTACAAACAAAAGAAAGAGGGAGATAACAGGAATCTAGTGAAGCCAGGCCCACCCTGGGTGGTGCCTGGCCTGGCAAAGGCAGGATGAGGGCCTTGAGAAATGGCAGGGCATGGGACCCGAATCTCTTGGGAGACTCACATCCAGGTTTGAGAACATCTATGTGTCCTGTGCTCTCAGGGCCTTGGATGCTCAAGTAACACACCACGTCCCACTTATCAAGATGTCAGTGCAAACAAGAAATCTGGGTCCCAGAGCAGAGTTTGAACTTGGAATACACAGTGATTTGATCTCTACAAATCCCTGTGTTCTCTCCCATAGGAGGCATCAGGGAAGTTGTGTGTATGTGTGTGTGTGTCCATCCATGTGTGTCCATCTATCCATGTGTCCAGAGTGCAGACATGTGCACACATGTGTATGCACTGTGGAGGGGTATTTACATCAAGAGCTTCAAGGATCCTTCTAGGAAATAAGCATCCAGCTTCAAACCCTCTTCCCATTATCTGGAATTCCAGAAGCCTGTCTCGGTAGACTCTGGGTAAACTGGGTGAACACCAGTTCACAAGGTGACTCTGAGAAATTCATTTTGTCTTGAGTTCACTTTTTTCATCTGTCAATTCTGCCAAATCTATTCTTAAAGTCCCTGCTAGCCACATTTTCCCCCAAAGGCCTGTTCTCCACCCAAGATCAACTGTTTGTGAGGAACCATCCATCCAGGTCATCCTTAATCAAGGTGGCAAGGGTGACATGCACAGGTGTGAGACCCACACACCAAGATGTCTACAGAGAATACACTCGCCCTTTGTATACCATTTATTGTTGATCCTGTACACCAAATCTGTTAGAAGCAGCATCTAGTAAAGGGTAGATCCCCCAAACCTGCCCACCAGGGCTCACATTCTGTAGAACCCCAGGAGCCTAGAAATCTTTAAATGCACATTTCTAAATGCACTGCCAAGCAACTGGGACTATTTGCAGAGACTATCTAGTAAGGCAAGCATGATTGTTCTAGAAGGCAGAGTGAAGACAATGGAAGGCAAGAACACTCTTTCCTTAGAAGAAGGGGCCTGACTGTGTGGGGCTCCATCTGAAAGCTACCTGCTGCACACTCCATCAAACGATACTAATGGCTTCCCTCCTGAGATCAACAGCCAGATTCTCTTCCACAACCTGATCTGGTTCTGACTGCGGAGTCTGGGGCAGAATCTTTGAGTAGCTTATAGCTAAATCTAGGAAGCATGCAAGGCTTACTTCCTGACTCAGGTCATCAGCCTGCTCTTTATGCTTTCCCAAGGCTGGAACTGGCTTCCACGGTTCCATTCCACCATCTGGATGCCTGTGGGAACTGTATGGCTGTGGGTGAGAAGCTCCAAGAACCCAGCTGTAACTGTACCACAACCTGTTTCCTAAAATCTCCTGATGAAAGTCCTAGACAGTCCATGAAGCTTCTACAGGGATTGTCTGTTGGGCACTGTGCAGAAAAGACCCCAACACAGAAGATAATGGTGGAACTAATTTTGCAAGGTGCCAAGAGGGTCAGGAGAATGCACATCAAGAGCTTTGAAGGAAACCCAGGCCCCGAACATCTCTTAACATGTTGGTTCGAGTTGGGCTTTATTAGCCTTCCAGAATTAACTGCTCTCCCCACTGTGCACAAAGGCTGGGATGGTAGTCCAGAAAGCAGTGAACAGATTGGCCAAGTGGATTGAACTCTGCATCCTATCACAGACTTCTAGGGACCACAGAGTTCATTCTAGCTTGAGAACTGAACAAAGTGGGTCATCCTATTGGAAAGGACCCTCCACCCAGCATTTCTGGCAACTTCTTCCCTGACTAGAAGATGTGATTTGGAGGAATTGTGCTTTTTTCTCACTGCTTGTGACCTCGAAGGTGGGTCATTAGAAGACAGCTGTCCCCAGGCCAGCCTTTGAGCCAGCAAGGTACACCACTGTCACAGCCAATGTCAGAAGTGGCCAGCATTTCCAGGTTATGATTGGCAGGGAACACTGGATACTATGGCTGCTACCTCTCTCCATCCCTAGCTCGCTGAGGCTGGACGTAGCTCACAAGGAGCACCTGATAGTTCTGGAGATCACGGTACTGTGTAAAGCTTCCATCTACAGTAAAGCAGGACCAGCTCCTTCTCTTCACCCCAGGACCTACCAGCAAACCACAGTCAGCAGAACCAAGCTCACACTCACTCGGGGCTGGAGACAGCCTTGGTTGGTGTGTACCAGTTGCTACAGATACTTTGGAAACACTTTGGATACCTAGATTGGCCTTGGAAAGATGATGTCTTTTGATTGACATCAGCTTCCTGGGGCCGTCGAGTGTGCTGGTTCTCACATGCATTCCTTATGAAGTATTCTGTCAGGGATCCGGAAGGGAAATCTGAACATTGTGTAAGCTCCCCATTGCCAAGACTCAGAGGGATTTCTGATTGGCCTTATGAGCATCACCTCAGGCTAGAGCTAGATTTCCAAATCCCTGTGCTCGCTCAGGGTCCTTCCCTCATTGATAGGGAAACCTGAAATCCTCTGTTTCCCTGTGTTGTTTTTGAGGGAGGGTCTTTCTACATAGGTCTGGCCATCCTGAAACTCGTTCTGTAGACCAGGCTACCCTTGAACTCACTAAAGGCATGAGCCACCATGTCTGCTTGTTTCCCAGCTTTTACTTCTGCACAGGTGTATTAGTCATCCTGAGAAAGCTGTGTTGACTTATCACAACTGTCTAATGTGCGGAAACAGACACATCTGAGGCAGGAAACAGAGCCAAGGCAGATGTATTGTGACTGTCACCCAAAGAAAAAACTCTAAACCATTCAGTTCAGAACCAGACCCCAGGTAGAAGGTTCTGCATAGCACCCCACACCCTCGTGTGACCTTCCAGCGTGCCCTGATATCTGCTGTCTGTAAACACACTGTAGTCTAGCTACAGCTGACTAATGCTGATGGAGAATTTGACCACAGTATAGACGGATTCCTGGTTTCCATTACACGTGGTTGTTCAGCTGGAAGATCTCATCTCTGAGCTATTTTGCCTTCCCCAAGTGGAGAACAAAAATTAGAAACAGATACGGGCATATAATGCCCATAAAAGGATCTGTAGAGGGGCTACCAATGAGCAGCACAGGGCTTGCTGGTGGGGAAGAAGTGTGCTTGCACAGACCATGGTAGTTCATACGTTTCTGGTCTGGCCAGCATGGCTGCCTCCTATCCTGATTGCACCTTCATCTCTTTCACTCCTAACAGCTGGGCCTATGCAAAGGCTTCCTTCCCGTGGAGAGGTAGGGGAAGTTGTAAGAATCCCTCCCTAGCTCATGGGAAGCTAGAAAGTCTCCAGCATCCCCAGAAGTACCCCAGAACAAGCTTGGAGTGGGGGTCACTGCGATATCATTTCTTGGTACCATGCCAACTACACGGGTATCTATTCAGATCATGAGAATTTGCAGAGCTGTCCCCTTCACACTTCCACTTTCTGTATGTATGTGATGCTTCAATATGAAATTAGAGCAGGCAGGGGCAGCAGGCTGTGAAAGGACTCCAGGCAGCAGGTTGCATTCTTCAGCCAGTTTCAGTGAGCTGATTTTTGTTTTTTAAAAACTTAGCCATTCGGCATGATTTTATACCGTAAAGGGCTAAGCTCTTTGAAGGAAAGCTTGAGGCTTTAAAGATTCTTCTCTAAAAGGCTGAACCTGGTGCAAAAGATGCTGACGACAACTCTGCCTAGGATCAGACAGCACAGGTGTCTTTCTGTCTTGCAGAACAGGCCAGTGCAGTGAGCTAAGAGATTCAAACCTTCAGCAGCAGAGAGGAGATCTCTCAATTGAAGAGACAGAGTCAAGCCATGGCACAAAAAAAAAGAGAAGCAAGGGGATAAAAGAAAGCAGCATATATAATACTTTGAGGCACGGCTGTGCCAGCAGAGAACTATCTCACTGTGTGAGCAGGCCTTGTCATCATTACGTCTACGGAGGCTGGACGGGGCTGGGCATAGGGAAGCTTGTTCTTGGAAGCAGTGAGGATCTGGCAGAAGGCCCCTCTGCCCTCTGAAAGTTGCCTAGACACTGACCTAGTTGGTAATTTCTCTCTCTCTCTCTCTCTCTCTCTCTCTCTCTC